CACAGTTGGAATCAAGGGGCTCAAAAGGATGTGAAGCTAGGTAGACAAAACTGTCTGTAACCTCTTCAAACGCCATCCAAGCTTGCCAGAACGACTTCTTCCCTGTTCCCCAAAAAGCAGAGGTTGTGTCGCATCCAGAAATCGCGCGTGAAGCATTGGTAGTGCTTGTGACCTTTTTGTGCCAAGGCTGGTGGACAGAGCATTGATGCTGTAAAGTCTGTAGTTCTTTCCGACTCCAAAGGCGACCCAAATACCAGCTTTGGGCTGTGACAGTAACAGCTTGTGAAGGACACCAATAAGGACACCAACAACATCAGTGTCCACAATGCGAACTTGCACAGTCGTCAATCCCTGCTGAAGTGCGTGTAGTACATGAACCACAATTCTTGCGTCGGCCTCTTCATGACTGCGGTTTGGCATGGGACTGGATGAGCATACCGTTAGCACTGACTCTTCCGAAGTGATGTAAACGGCCTTTCCCTCGGGGAAGACAAAGTTTGCCACTTCATAGGTTAGAAAGTCAAACAGCTCTTTCTTGTTTGATGAATCATGCAGAAAGTCTGACCAGTTTCGTGGTAACTTGGTTTCTCCGGATACCTTTCTGCGGACCCCCTTTCCTCTCTTCTGACAAGTCGACTCCTTTAAACTTTCCGGTCTGTATGTGTCCCATACAACGTCCAACCTTTCTGTTCCTTGTAGGTGACTCTGAAGATGAGGCATGAAAGCCCTCTCTGCGTATTCTTTGAATGTTGTAATTCCAGCGATGGACAAGCAGTGTACGATGACAGCACCATCTAATACTTTACAGCTGAATGTTTCAGGTGGCGTAGATTCATGTAGTGGCTCAAGGCATTTCATCATTCAGACTTTGTACCCGGAAAATAAAGTTTGCCGAACTCTGACAATGAGGGAGGAAAGGATTGGACTTCATGAGAAAAGAATTCTTCCAAATACCCTTCACGGTTCTGCATTGAGATATACAACTGACCAAAAAGAGACATTATTTTCAGGACCTTTAATCCTCCTTCCTTGCTTCGACTTAATCTTTGGACTGGGTTTCCTGAATAGTGCTGGCTTGTTTAATTTAATGGGTTCATGAATAGATCGTTTTCGTTCTTCCAGTGCTTCTTTGACAAAGTTACTGTATTATCCCTTCCCTGTGTCTTCAAGGGTGTACAATGCTGCTATGACTGATTCATCAGCGCAATCTCGACTGTCTAGGACACAAGATCTGAAAAATCGGCCAAGAAAGGGTTCCCCATCTTCCTTATGATGCTAGAGATACTAGTGACCTGCAATCCAATCTTCAAGCTGTAAAACCCTTTCGTAGAAAATGCAGATTCCCAGCTGGTGCAACTGATTGATAAGATGCTTACTTCTGGTCAAGCCATGTATGTTCAAGCCAATGTAAACAGGGAGTGGTGGCTCGCGCGCTAACGAATGTCTTGGTTTTGCCTCTGGATCAGCAGTTGATCGTTTCTTAGCGTTAAAGACTATGGCCTGGCCAATAGTGAGGCATGCTTGGGACTCTTGTTTCTCTTGGTTTTTCAAGTTGGATCCATTGAGAATTAAGGAAATGAGGGTCTTGAGACTTGAAGGCAGTGACGTGTCTTGACACCGACGTGTCTTTCCCTATTATAGAAGCAGCCCTGGCCAAAATTAGTGTGTCTTCTGAGAAGTCTCTTTTCTTTAAGGCGTCTTGAATTATGTTACGCATTCCTTCTTTGAAAACTAAGAAAGTGTTCCTGCCGTCGAACTGTTCTTGAGCTTCCTTGAAGTATTCCAACAAGCGCTCCTTTAGCCTGGTCTTGTTTACTGATTTCGCATTACCTAGATCCTCCAGGCGACTTTCGTATAAAGAGTGCAGCTCCGACAATTTAATCAGGGGTTTTCCAGAATTGACTTATTTTTTGACATAACTTGCCAGCTTGACAAGCACGCGGGAGTTACACACGTTTTCATCAATATTTTACTTATCCTTGTTTGATTTTCTAACGTGACTGCGATATCTGTTTTTCAATTAAATCAAGCATTTCAGATGATACTTTGCTCCGATCGCAATAAGATCTCCTCCAATTATTCTCACAAGTATTCGGGAATTATTAAGCTCTGTTATTATTGTTCTTATATTTGCGTCTGTCTCATATGTAGACACCTGGCGGAGATCTCCATCATCTTCTCGAGCTTCCTTGCTTCTCACACAAAAAACACACTTCGCTGTTCAACCGTTGTCGCTTACCGCGAGAGCTTGTTTCTGTCGAATCACTGCTGCGTTTTCTTTTCAGTTTTGCTCTTTCAACTTTGCAGCTGCTAAAGAATCAATATCTTGAAACTGCTTTACGTGATTAAGAAAATTCGTATATGCGTCTTTTTTATTTCCTTTCTTTACTGGGTTTTCCAAAGGACATTTTAAAGCTTCTGGGGTTTTCCTCTGGCATATAACACATAGGTTCCAGTCTAGCTCCATGTTTTGCGGTCACAAGCTAGAACAAATAAGGAATTTCTATAGCAATGTATATATGCTACAATGTTGGCTGTTGATTAAAACTGAATTTAAGTTACAGTAAAACGGGCAACAAAAAAAACGTGCAACTTGTTTTGAAACATTGCTGCAAAACGAGTTGAATAGAGATGTTTCGCGTTTTACCACCGACGTTCGAACCTGTCTTGTAACAAATAAGGTTGCAAGGTTTTTTTGTAGGTGGTAAAACGTGCAACATTGCTATTCAACTCGTTTAGCACCAGTTTTACAAAACAAATTGGCACTTTTTTGTTGCCCGTTTCACCGTACTTTTAAGGAAAATCTCACTATAATTTATGATAGCTTGGACCTCTATAGGTTTCTAAATATAACAACAATGTCTTAAACTGCAAAACTACAAGTAAAA